CGAGAATATTGTGCAGTTCGTCCGCCCGGCAATAGGAAAGATGTTATTCCACTTGATGCAACACAAAGCACAATTCGACCGTGCAACCTTAGCCAAGCAGCTAAAATCCTCCACAAGTATGTCTTTTCAGTTCCACCATAACCATACACAAAAAACACGCCGCCCCTGCCGGAATGAATATATGTCATTATTTTGGAATAAACACCCTTCTGTTCATCGGTCATATGTGTCAGCAATGCATCATGCTCAATAGCTAGAGCCTTACGGTCATAGTTGAGTTCATCCAAAACCAGACGGTTCGTACTTGAATTATACTACCCATATCTGGAAAAGTCATAGTAGAATAATCCTTTATCCCAAACTCAACCTAACTCAACCCAACATAATATTTATTTTATATTTATTTATATATTTATTAAATATTATCTTCAATAATTTTTTTGTTATTGTTTTAGTTGTGATATGATAAAATAAAAGATATGATAAAATTGATAAGTTACGGTTAAGAAAAAAGAGTGAAAAGATAGAAATTGCAATTATGTTCCAAAATATATCAAGAGTGGTCTCTATTATAGAGAATGAAAAATAATTATTTATTTATTTTTTTCATATAAATTAATATCAATAATTTGATTTACAATTATCTTATTATAGAAAAATTTTATAGACCAATAAGAATGGGACACTTGCCCCATTTCACTCACCTCATTTCTCTCTCCCTCCTTGTGGCTAGGTTGCGATCTAGGGTCACAATTTGACATGAGTCGCGGATTTTGCTATTTTTTTATTTTTTTATTATTTTTTAGTTGGTGACCTAATAAAGATAATATAATATTTATTTTATTTTTTATTTATTTATTTAATAAATATTATCTACAATACATTGTTTGGTATTGTTTTATCTACAACCTAACCCAACATAATAATTTTAATTGTGTTCCAAAACATATCAAGAGTGGTCTCTTTTATAGAGTATGAAAAAATACGAATTTTGGTATTTTTTATTTTATTTTTTAAAATAAAATAATATCAATAATTTGAGTTATACTTATCTTATCATATAAAATTTATAGTGGACCAATGAAAATAGGACAAGTGTCTCATTCCTAATGTATAAAAGTTAGATAATATGGAATCTCCAAAAAAATCTTCATGTAATCTTTTTATTTAGATTTTTTAATTTATTTATTTTTTTAAATTTTCAAAATTGGTTGGATGGCGCTCGAATTTTAATTTTTAGCCAAAAATCTTTCTCATTTTATTCACTTTGGGCGGGAATTGACTTCTTTTTTTTGCTAATTTTTTTCATCTTTTTTCAAATAAATATCATTCCCTCTTTATATATTTATAGATTCTATCAAAACAATTTTGAAATTTTGACAGTAGATTCTTGCGTCTCATCGGTGGTTGTGATTTTTTTACGAACTTGGTTATACAAATGAAAGTGGATGAGTCACGTATCGAGGAGGTGAACAAGGTAGGATCATTGAGCGAGGAACGTTGAACGTGGATAGTCTTTCGAGAATTCAAAATATCTATGGACTTAAAGCTAGCTTAATTAGCATAAGTGAACATTTGACGACAGTCAACTTATGAAGACAATCTTCATGTTAAATTTGATTGTAATTTTTGTAATGTTCTCGATGAGATTAAGTCGTATATTTTTACAGGTGTACGAACTTCCTGAAATTGTTATTGGGTAAAAAAGATTTGAGGATGACATTTTGGACTTGTTGGACCTTTCACAACGTAGTGTTCTAGATGTCGCCTTGTATGTTATGACACCTAACACCAGATACAACACCTAATGCAACATCCATTCCAAACGAGTTGAATATCAATCTCGAGGCCAAGTTGAGCGCTAATACGGTGATTGCTGACCAGGGCAAAGACCTCACGACCACATTTCAAGAGTCTCTTTCCACATTGTAAGTCGTCGATAAGGTAACAAATAGTGTATACGAACTTGTCATAAACAAATTAATTTTCATAAGATGGTGAAATTTGTTTGCGCTAATTTATGTCTTGACATGCTAAGAAAGTGTATTGTATTTGTAAGAGTCTTGATGACATTTTTTTTCTTTCAGAAACATGGTTGTTAATGATTCGATATCTTTATGTAAAATTCGTCTTGTTATCGACTTTCATGGATGAATCAAATGATTCGGGATGATAATTTACATGATTATTTCTTAACCGTTTATTGTAATACAAGAGTGCGGTGTGTAACTACAAAAATTCAATTCTACATTCTCGCACAAAACACATAAAATTAAGACCATCACTTTAATTTCTGTCAGATGGAATCAAATCAAGCTGAAAAAATGGCAATGCTGCACTCAGACGTGAGGGAAGGCGAATGGCTCCCCCTCTCATGACCTCTCGCTCTTTCAACCCTATCAGCTCCTCCATGGCTTCTTCAGAGTAAGATATGACTTCTCGCATTTTGTGTTGTATCATGATCTTTTTTCGGAGTTTTCATATGTTTAGATTGTATTTGCTCGTCCTTCGATTAGAAACCCAGTTTTTGTTTTCAGTTTGTTGTTTGCGTTTCGATTGGACACTCGAAATCTGTGATGGTTTTTGTCTATCCGTGTACCCCGTCCTTCATTTTATTGGAGTTTTGATGTATTTTCTTGGATTTGTTTGCCGGGGGCATTTGGCATTTCGGGTGTTAATGATCTCATTAAAGGCGATAATGCCGTTGTTGTTCGAATCTATTTGAGTTTTGTTGAGGCTAAAAGATCACGTACGAGCTGGTTGAGCTTCGAAATTCATCAGATGAAAATATGGGATTAAAAATGGTCATGGGTTTGCTAAATCAGCATGTAAAAACGGGTATTCAAAATAACGTGTTTACGATTAATCGTTAATGTCTCTTAGTTTCAGCCATGGAGTATTTGGATAAGCATTGCCATGAGTAAGAACTTTTGCTTATATCATTATGAGAAGCAAGTTCCTGAATTAATTTTCTTGTTGAACTATTGAAAAGAAATTTTCGGGACTTCTAAAATATGCAGGAGTTATCCTTCTGACACAACAATAACAACATACCCAGTATATTCCTAATATATTATGGACTTACTTTTGTGTTATTTACTTTACCCTATCATTTCGTTATCTTGTTTTGCTTATCCTAAAAGTAAAATTTTTATTCTGATGCTCGAAACATGCAGTCCCCAGTCGTATGAAGAGTGTTCGGAATATTCAGAAAATCACAAAGGCGATGAAGATGGTTGCAGCTTCAAAGCTCCGAGCCATCCAAACAAAAGCTGAAAATTCACGTGGACTATGGCAGCCGTTCACTGCTCTTCTTGGTGACGTTCCAAGTGAGTTGATAGTTAAATTTTATCTCATTTTATTTCGTTCCATTTCATTTCTGGAAGATTTGCACTTGTATGTTACTGGTTTTTTTTCTAACAAGGTTTATTGATACGATATTTTGATCCATTTGAACCATGCATTTGCACATCATGTATATACTTTTAATGACTTGCCATCTGTTAGTAGACTCAGGGTTTGCCTTTGATGTGGAGCATAAACTGTAGTTGGAACAATCTTTTATTAAAAATGATAGTGAGACTATACTACACCAAACTTTATTGGTGGCTGAGTGATCAGACTCTAAAGCACAACAATATAGAAGAAAGCAAGAAGCAGAGCAGATAGATCGACTTTATTCATTACAAATGGACGAGAATTTTTGGTAAACTACGAATTTTATCGATAAAGGCGGAATCGTCAAATTCGAACCCATTTTCACGAGGCTCGGGGCCAAGCTCGGGATGTCTCCATCTTTCGTTAGCTTCAGAGGATGTCCGTTTAACAACATTACTCGGCTCGTAAGGTTGCCATTTTCGGGAGTCAAATGGTACTCCGCTCGGTACAGCTCGTCTGAAGCCTTTTTTCCAACACACGAGACCGATTTTTTAGGCTCGCATGTGATGGAGTTGTTTATTTTGGCTCGAGTTCGATTTTTCCCTTCAGATTGGATATCGACAATGTATGTTGTCTGGTTGCTTAGGTTGATCAGAAGTACGGCTATGCCAGGCTGGAATAAACAAGAATTGTCATTCAGAAACATTTTTTTTTTTTTTGCAGGAAAATTAAAACTAATGGAAAAA